TATGCATTGCGAGTTTGGCAGCGATCAGTGAAGTTCGCTTCACTGTATTACACTGTACAATGATGATGATTTACGCAGCTAAGGAAGTACGAGAAGCAGTCGTTTTTGGCTAATTCCTGACCTATTTTCAGAACGGGACTCGGCTATCAGGTCGCGAGTGTACCAGCGAAATCTTCACGTTGTTTCAAGTCCTCGAGTTATTCCATACACATCACCGACCAATGGTTGTCGTGTTCCTTAGCCTAAAAGTAACCTCCAGTTGACCGCGAAGCCCTTATGTACTTGCTTCTTCGCAAAGGTTTGCAAATGTGTGTAAACCTATTGAGCTCACTCTACTAGCATACTTCGGGTAGCTTAAGGGTCTATCGCGAGCTGAGTAGATCGTTCAAAACTAGCAGCGGTGCTCGTCAAGGGTGCCCTATTTCGCCATTCATCCATTCAACTTTGTAGATGAAACGCGAGAACGCATTTAGTGGTCTTCAAAGTGTTGGTATTAAATGGATAGCTAGAAAAAAGATGTGCCACTTGGAGTACGCTGGCGTCATCGTTGGTCTTTTCTAAATATGTAGGATGCGCAAAGCGCTCTTGATAGACTTTCAAATTCTGCAACTACATTTGGTATGCTCTTTGCACCTTCAAAGTCAAAATGATCCTGCTAGACTGAGGGCCAACCTACCCTCCTGTAAAACTCCTCAGGAATTGGTTGGAGCTGATTGTACCAACCAATGGTGCTAGCTCAGTAAAGAAAACCGAATGCATTTCCAAAGCTCCATCAACGTACGCATAAATAAAACACCTTTGGCAACAATGTGACTTTGCACTGAATTTGAGAAATCTCATAAACTGCGTTTGTTCAGTTTTCTTTTGCGGTAGCGATACTTTTTCAGGCAGAAGATGTCCATCAACAACTGATGCTTAGTCTGACCCAAGTGAGATAGTTTGAACGATTATGGTGATGTGGGTGCAGTGTCACCAGCGTGCTTTAGATCCTATGGTCGGAGGTTCGCACCCTGCCATGGCCAGCCGACTTTGGTGGTGAACAGCTTCACTGTCCTGGGGTAAAATACCTCGCCCAACCTCGTGAGGCCTCATGTGGTTCACTGCGCGAAGTTCCGGGACATACCTATCCCTGGCTTACATGACTGAATAGCAGGTGGGTTTCCGTGGGTTTCACTCCGTTTGGTGTTCATCACACAAAATATGTATTACGAAAAGTAGTAACCTAAATATAAACCTTCGTGTGTTTAGGAACATATTGAGAAAAATTTCACTACCTCATCGAATTCAGCTCAATAGGCTTCGCTGGTTAAGACACGGTATGCATAAATTTAATGGTCGCTTACCGTACGGCGACTTTTTTATTACACACTTGATGAACAGCAAATGGGGTTTACCGCATAGTCACGAAGACCTGCTGTACAGTAGTGGTAATTGGTAACCTGACCCTCGGAAACTGAAGCCGCGAACCGCATAAGGTCCCATTGGGTTAGGCGTGGTATTGAACCGGGCTGCAGTTGCCGCTCAGGGAAAGAGAGAACCACCTGGTGATGACATAGGCACGAGGTATAAAGAAATACACGGAGCGATCATATATAATCTTCCAAGTGGGGATCCTAAAGACTGCAACTGGTTGTACGGAGATATTGAAGGGCACAGCAGTGACGTTCTTGTTACCACTTCAGAATGCTTGAAAGGGTATGCAGACACAAACGTATATATAGATCGTGTGCCAAAAAAGTCCTGATAGAATCATCTTTATAAGAACAAAAGTTCCATGATTTGCTTGTGGGCGGAATACTGCCAGGTGAATTTTCTCTAGGAATTCACGACCAGTCTTCCGTTATCCAAAGCCTGACCCGCAAGGTGAGGCGGTGTGTGAAAACCGCGATCCATTGGGGGCCAGTATCCAGTTCATCGACTCATATACCTTTTGAACAGGGTCAAACGACCAAGATACTCAATTCACCCCGATGCCCAATGAAGCCGGTGACCACTGCCACACCGAGGAGGGCGTGAGTGACTGATCGTAATCCTCTTACTAGTTGATTTGGAATCAGAATTTTCAGCCACCTAGGTGAACTGCCACGGGTTCACTGACCTTGGATGTTAACTTCTCATCCGCTCACTTTGGTGAGAAAACACCTCTGCCACGGGAAGGTAGTGAGTAAGGCTTCCTCAGCAGAGGCTATTTCAGGCGATTGGTCGTAAAGAAGCATTCCGCAAGATTCAAGGTAAGGATTACCAGCCACAACCCAAGACACCCACCCCAGACCAACCTAACCGAATGCGCAGATGGGTTGTTTACTTTGTCTGTTGAGCAAAGAGGTTCACTTTCTTTGTTTCCTTCCAACTAGACCCAAATCATGCCCATCTTTTTCGGCCTCCCTTACTTTCTGCACCTGTTAAGCCTGGCAGAGATCACTTAAGTGTATCCCGTTGTACGAGGATTAAGCTGATGTTTCTCTCATCATTGGGCCGTTGTTTTTATCTTATATCAACTTCATTCGAGTCGGCTAGTTCCGCCCTTTATTCTTTAACTAATAATGTAGAGATGTCGATGATAAGTATTGGTCTAATAAGTTATGGCATCCTTCTCTGTGGTTGTAGGGTTCATTTAAGTAAACTGAATGCCACTGAATAAGACTTTGTGAGCATTAGATAAAAGGCGAATTTTGGCCTCATTTCAGTGAACAAAGAAACAAATGGCTCGGAACAATGAAGGGGGAAATCATATTCCAAGATGACAGCATGTTTAATGAGGACGGTCCGAATGGCTTGCGTTATTACTAGCATAATCGTTTCACAGGGGAACGGATATACATCTCACGAGTTTTCAAGGGTCGCTCACTTATACTAAGATTGGGCATCAGTGTGATAGGAATTAGTTCACTAACTAAGCTAGACTTGAAACTAAAGATGAAAGCGCATTAGAACAGCCAACAATCATCTTTCCAGTATTTACGGAAGCAGAGTCAGGGAGTTCATTTTGCAACAAGACAAAGCCCACATTCACACTGCATACTGCACGAAACTCACTTTTCTGCGACTGGCTCCTTGGAAAGGATAAGCCGGCTCCAATCATGATCAAGATCATGGAGCTCCTTGGGAGTTTGGTACCAAAGACGTCCGTAGTGTCACTCGGCGTTGTTTATTTTGAGAGTGCACCTCTAGTCTTTGCACAACCAAGTGCGAACTGCAAGGTAGCAGGAAATAATCCCTCGCCTCGGAAGTGAGGGGGTAGATGACTGCACGAAACCTTCCTTCTTGTATTACAACATTCGGTTGCTGCACTGGTAATCCCACAGTAATGATTTGAGTCTAATAGAAAATGTTCAGGGAGTCATGATCGGGCGTACTTATAACTGACAGGTCTTTTCATACAAAGGAGGAACCGGAAAAACTACTATGTATACCAGGGGATTTACCAAACTGCTGATTAGAAAGTTCAGTTGTTTCATTTGCACTTTTATTCGGCGAAACTGGGACAAGTGGCAAGTATAATCGGAACTTAGATACCTACTCATTACCTCCTCCCTGAATCATCTGTACATTTGGCTAAGGAACGTCGACCGATTTGTTTTGACCCTTCGCTTATCGTGAGAAACAAGTCACGAGTGGCACTTATTGCGAAATGAACTCGAAGTAAAGCGTATTTAGTCTGGCTATACGCAGTTCTGCTAAAGCATAAACCGACCTTTTCGACTGCGAAAAATGTAAAGAGCATTTTCTGCTAATCGGATCTGTTCGGGAGAGAATAAAGTGAACAGAGGTCAGGCACATTCGGGTCAAAGGAACCCACCTATGCATATTCCTTGGAATCTTTCATGGTCCCGTCGGATTAATGATGTCTACGATGTTTGTACGCATTTCGATCAGGTTTTTTTTATTGCACCACCTTTGCTATACTAATTTAATACATAATCACTAGTTAACCAATGAATTTGTCCATAGTTGACCTTCCTTAGGTCACAAACTAGTAGGAAAGCTGGCTACTGGGTTGATTAACTCATGAGAAATACAGATCATGCGTAAGGATTTGCTCGTTTAATAGAAGAAACAGTGAAATGCAAATACACGTTAGTGACAATAACGAGTGCTCAAACCACCGGCCGCTCGATTACATCTGCAGATTCTCTGTCATATTCATATGAACCTTCCTGGCTTCTTCAGTGGAGTGTTTTGGAATAGAATCGTGATTTTTTTTTCAAAATTATTCTCTCTCTGTCCAACAACCCTTAATGGTTTCAAGCTTACCGCTTGTGTTCACTGTTAAAAATGGATTTCTTACAGCACGTTTAACTACTGACTAGTTCTAAGGTGACTACCTCAAGTGCATTTTCAGTTTTGAGTTCGTTTGTTTTCTACAAGACACGTCAACTTCGGTAATAGATTGCATGGTATTATCTCGCACGTAGGGTACGTGTAACGTTTATGTATTTGACCTGCAATTTACTTTCAGTGTCGATTTCGAAATTCCAACAAATTAGCGAGATAAGAAATACTGAAAAATCCCCATCATCTGGTTTTGTAATCTAAAGTATTATTCCTTTTTTATTTTTAAAGGAGCTGTGAATTCGGATTCGAATGTGTTTGGCATGGAGGATTTCGCGAGGTGCTGCGCGTTATTCGACAAAATTTCACCCGCCTCACTAAATCACTGATCACCCAGCCAGGGAACGCCTTTTCACTTTCCGTGGGTCAGCATCACCCGCTGTCTAAGACTGGGGCTGAGGAGCTAATCCCTGGTCGAGTAGCTGAATCCCGATCTCGGCTAGTGGTCGGTTTGGCTCGTGCCCGATCACAGTTGAATGTAACCCAGCATCTGGCTGACACGGCTGTAGTGCGTGCACTTACCTTGATCGACGAGCTGGACGCGGACCTGACACGCTCTGTCGCGCGCTTACGCACATGCTACGCCACACATTTTCCCGAAGCCTGTCGTTCCTCTTCGACAGCCGGTTGTTCACCCCTGAGCGACGTGCAGTTGATTCATTTGATTGCACACTGCCCAGGAAGAACAGAGTTGCTTTCTGGCGAGTTGGAGGATGAATTGGGACAAGTTGATGTCCTCCATCCNATCCGGTCCTTGGCACAATCAAACAACTGGCTCGCGACTCTATTGGTAGTGATTTGTCGTTCGAGGATGCTAGTCAGCTAAAACTGTTCGCGGAGAAATTGATACATACAATGGAGGTGAGGTTTTTATTTTTTTCGTGTTGAAAAACAAATGCCTCATGGAGTTTAGTCGATGTGATTTTTAACCCTATTTATTCATAACGATCCATTTTCACTGTTCTTCGCTTCGGTTTTGATATCCTAATGCGTATTATATCTGTTGAATCATTGAGCCAGCCGGCAGGGTGGTCACTGCATTCCATGACTAGCTGCAATTAGTGCGGACGGCTTGTCTGTTAACTTCTTTTTGTATGGTGGCCGACTACTAAGCGCTGACATTCTGTCAGTAGTACACTCCAAACAATTCCAGAAAACTCATTCAATAGTTAAGAAAATAAAACGTTGGAAACATAGTGAAAGTACGGTTGTAACCGAATGAACAATAGACAGGCCCATGAATACTTGTGTTCACAACCAACCATGTCCTCAACGATCCTGTGTGTTGTAACCAAGTACACAAATACGAAACACCTGGCACTCATTAGGATACATATTCAATGCTCATTTGTTCAACAAGCTCTATTTGATTGTACTCTCGCATGAGTACTTAGTGGTTGCTCTTACTTGGCTGATGGTTTGTGAATGTCGACCGATTCGGCGGCGTAGACTGNATCGGAACGTCCTATATTTAGTTTTGAAGTGCGCAATGTTTTACTTCGCGGCTGTGGCCCTCTTTGGATGGAAGATTTTGAGCGCCGTCAGTTCTAGATAATGGTGTTTAGCGTATGTTTGCTGCCGTCCTACATTTCAGGGATCAATATACCGTTTATCTTCTCTTACTTTTTGTTACTCGCCATAAAATGTGGCTTCATAATTTTCGCTCGTTGACCATTTTTCCTCAAACTATCGCTCCATGACTGATCCTTGCTGCTAGACTGACTTTGATCATCACGATAAGACTACACTTCGGTTTGTGCCTCTCTGTGCTGATGAGCCACAGAGGATGGCTTTTATCAAATCGTGTCTGGAAAGTCAGAGGGTAGAGATCAAACAATATTCCGTTTCCAGGTTAGGGATGCGACTCCAGTAGGTTTCTCATTTGCTAAAATGGTGGAAGAGCAATCAATCCGAGTGAGTAGGCCTCCACTTCGCTTTACTCACTCCCTTGCGGTCAGGTTTTTGTCAGAACCCTAATCGTTCTCGTGCATAGTGACTGGANTTTATGTTGGACTCTACTTTCAACTTTCCTGTCTTCTATTCTTCACCTAAATGGACAGCCAAAAGACAGCAACCAAAACCGGCGCACGAAAGTGCATGGTTAATGGTTGTACAAACTGAATTGAACACCAAATTCAGATTAGCTAGCTTCGCTGGTTAGGACGCGTGTTGTGCATTCCCATTTGTCGTTTACTGCAACACCCCTTACAATTTCGGCTCCAGGTTGGAAGAAATCTAA